GCTGCCGCTGTGCCGAGGCGACGGGAGTCACCGAAGCCGCTCAAACCCCAGCGCTGGGGCAAAGGGAGCGTCTGTTCGCCTTCGCTTTGAACCACGTAACGCTCCTCAGCGGAGCCTTGGCACTCGCCCCACGAACACTGCGCGACGTGACACCGTGCGCTCGGGTAGAGCCTCACAAACACCGGCCGCACACCCCTCCTCTCTCAGCAAAGCTCTTGCGTCTCTGCCCTCCAGGGAACGGCCTCACTCAAGGTCTGGAGAGAAGGAAGCCTGTCGCACCTAACTGGGGGAGGGGGAAACAATAACAAAGACCACTGACAGACGCAGAACCCGTCTCTGCCTGGTGATACCGGGCTGGGAGAAGTCCCGCTGCACGGTAACGTCGACGCACACGGGACAAGACACCACGAACCCAGAATGCCACACGCAGCGAGTCCTGTGAGCTCCCATTTACAAGGGCCACGAGCACCGGAGAAGTGTCAATGTGCATAGACGGGTGTTCCAGTTCCCCCAGTATTTACCACTCCAGAGTCTGAAGATGCTGGGACCGTATTTCGCTCTCGGTGCAATCCAGGTAAGTCCATCACGTCACACTTGTGCGAAGGAAGCTGGAACAGAAGCCGGAGCGTCTGGTTTTGGAAATACTACTCGACATCGGCTCATTTTAAAAGCTGACTTTCAAGCAAGTTATAAAATCCTTTCTTTATTCTGCAGTACTGGAATTTAAGCCCTTAAATCTTCCCTCTACGAAGCAGATTGTCAAAACTCTGACACAACTCAGCCAAGGGGCTGCAGCGCTCGGCGTCGGCAGCACCACGACACTATTGCGACTGCTGGGAACTGCCCCGCGGACCGGGACAGGCGCAGCCCTCGGGAGGAAGGAAGACGGAGACGTTGGCATTCCAAGTGATCGTTCCGTGCGGGGAATTCCCGGCGGTTTTTGCTCCTGCAGCGAGGTCCATCGCAGCGAGTCGGCGCGGGGCGCTCCGGGGAAGTCCCGCTGGGCTCAGACGAGCACCCGCGGCCTCAGCCAAGCACAATTCACCTCCAAGTGTCACCGCGCTGCCGCAGGGCAGGGCGACACGCTCCGGACACGGCGACGCTGCCGGGACGCCACCCAGCTTGTGCCCGGGACCCACGGGCGCTCGCTCGCCCCTGCTCCGAGCCGGCCCCGAGCCGCTCCACAGCCAGGATCCCCCCTGACCAACACCCCCAGTCAGAGGCTCTTCGCTCTCCGGAGCCAAGGGGAGAGCTGGGGGAGCAGAGCCCTCTCCCAGCTGGGACCTTCCTGTCGCCCCACGCTTACGGGAAGGGCCAGACAGCGCTCGCGGTCACGGCAGCACCACCGAGGCAAACCCGGTTCCAACCGAGGGCTCGTCCCTCCAGCCCTCGTCCTGACACGGCGCGAGAGAAGCAAGCGACAGGCTCAGTTCAGAGTTTGACTTTGCATTTTCTTGCTTCTCTGGACCAGGAAACGACTTTGAGCTGAAAACTCCCGGCCCAGCCGAACGCACTGTGCAGTCCCCGTAAGCGCCGCGGCTCGCGCGCCGTCGCCGTGGTCAGCTATTAACCTGAATTTTACTTTGCATTTCTGCAGAGCTCGAGAGAGCTCATCCGCGTGACGGATCAGTAACACAAAATCAAACATCAAGCTCAACAAAAATCAAGTTCCAGCACAAAGATTAAATGTTCAAGTGGATTAATCAAAAAAAAGTACGGTGAAGAACGTCAGCCCAGAGCAGATTCAACATTCCCTTAAACAGGACAATTCTTGGCGTGGAAACACACAGCCCTTCATTCTAGCTGCATCACAAGGAATTCTCACAGAAGCTGCTCTTTTAAACCCAAAGAAGCATTTCTCCGACACAAAACCGTCAAGCTCACACGTTATCATTCAAGTTAATGCCCAAGTGTACTGTTCTGGTAGAACCATGGCAAAAAAAAAAGAAAAAAAAAAAACCAGAAAAAAAAGACAGCTGGCAGGTAAAATGCGACTGTATCACACTTGATTGAATCTTGGCAATATTTTCAGAAGATGAAGATAACTTACAAGTTACTACAAACCCTGGCCATGCTGCCATACTGCACTTCGGAGCCAACCAAAACAAAATGGGAGATTACTTCACCCTCTGACACGTTCAGATTCCGGGAGGACTTCAGGGAAATCCTCGCTGCTGAGGAGCAGGAACAGTCTGAAAGTATGGGCCAGCATGGAGGGACCAAAAGATTCAAAGCTTTATTTTTTTTTTTTTTTTTAATAAAGTTAACAATAAAACAAAATTCACAAGCCTTCCCCTCCCCGAGCTGGTTTCCTCTTCACACACACAAGCACACAAAACAGAGGTCTCCAACCGAGAAAAATGAAACTGCTCTAAGTACAATGAGACGTGATGAAGGAAGGAGTCTAGGTATGTCCGTATTCAAGGTTAAAATAAGCAGATCAGGTATGTGGAGGTTGGGTTTTTTTTTTTAGCCAAACTGGAAAAAGAAATTTCCAGGCCCAGAAGCTGAAAAAGAAAACGAAAGGCATTAGCACTCCAAAATCCAAAGACAACAGGGTTGTTAACCACTCTCGGGCCGAGCCTGATGCCAGAACTCGATTCAAACAAAACCATCTGAACCGCAGGAGAGACGAGATCCGCGCTGCCCCTTTCCAGCCGCTGATCTCTGCTGCGGGCCACTGATAACACGGGCAAAGGAGGCAGATTCCCGAGGAGGAAGGAAAACAGCACACGAAGCGTGTGAGACTTCCCAAAGGGCCTCACGGAACACGCGCTTCCCTGCGGGTGCGGCGACAGCGGCGGCGCCGAGAGCTCGCTCGGGGCTGCACAAAGCCGCCCCCCTGCTC